CTGTTAGTCTGACATTCCAAAAGTCTGTTTCACCGACCGTCAAAAATCACATGTTTCGTTATTCTGGTATCGAAATGAATACAATATTTTGTGAGACCGGAATTGTTATAATGACTCGGCGTGTATCACCTTTTTAACACAAACACCATCCCATTGAATAAGCACATTTTTTGAAAGATATTTTAAAAGGTTAACCAGTCTAGTTCTCGAGTATGTTTGCTTAACTAGCTTTACAGCTAAACAGGTGCAGCCAACGAGCAATAAATTGAAATAGTCAATTCTCTGGGACAACATTTATTTCATGGGCCTTTTGTATGAAAGGAATATAAAGGAAAGAGGGGAAATTAAAAGCTGTTTATAAGCTACCCTCCACCTGAAAACAAAATTGTCTTCCCCTCCTGATGACCAATTCATCTTTCCCCTCTCCTCATTAAAAAAACATTTTTTTTATCTACATTAACCATTCAGCAGATCAGTGGGTGACTCATATTTTTAGTTATTGATAGCACACGGCTGCCCACATTTAGCAGATGTTATTTCCCCCAATGCGTATTTTTATTATACCCTGCCCTAAAGGCTGTTTTGCCCACCCTGCGATATTTGTTTATGTAAGTACCCTACCCACTAAGAAAAGATTCCCTGTCCTTGCATTTTTTTAAGAAATCTACCCTGCCCATTGGGGGTACTGATATTTCCCACCCCCTACAAAAAATAGAAAAAATGAACAGCTCTATAGGCTGCACCTTGCTGAAAAACCATGTCTTACTCGTAAATCGTCACATTACCTACATACCATAAAGTACTCAGTAGAGGTCAACTATGTACACGAATGCACGACGTGAGTGCTCGTATCTGACTTACACTACGTGTATTATATCTGCAGTTTGTACTGGCCAATGATATAAATGTGAACACGTGTTTCGGGCTTTGTTCCTATAACATTTACAATGTCACAGACGGAGGACGTACTCTGCATATTCAACTTATGAATATTTATAACCACGGTTCGAAAACCTCCTACTGTAATTGAATTCTGATAGATCAATAGACAAGATGCTCATCTTTGTGCTTGTAGTTGCGAGTTTGAAGCCAAGCAGTGGCGTTGTATCTAGTACCATAGCTTAATAATGTCTATATTTGATTTCATAAATTTTTGAGATCTTTTTAACATGTCCACATAAATAATGAAATATGAACTGGTATTCTGTACAAACAGGTCGATGCATTTACATTCTATGTTTCTGGTTTGATGTTGACTCATTTACAGCTCTCTTATTGGTGATATCAGGATTTTACTTCCTATAGCATGTGTGTGGGCTGTCATATGCAAACCAACAATGCTGTCTTTGCACATGGTCAATTAATTCACTCCGGTTATATGTCAGATGGTACATTGCCATTGCCATGCAATAAATTCATTAATTTTACGGGTTCCATCAGTCTGATGGAATTGATATCATTCATATAAGGCAGTGATATTCCTATGAAGTACAATTACATTTCATATAGTCTCTTTGCACCTATTTTATTTTCTATTCATTCTGAAAGGACACTTGGATGAACATAAAATAGCCTAAAAGTAAAGGGGTATATTTGTACGACACCCTGTAACTTTACATGATATGGGTCTATAATATTGTCTTGTACAATGTTGTAAACAGTTAACTACTGGTTGTGTACAATTTATTGTTGCTGCACATATAATTATTGAAAACAACAAGGTATCGTATTTTTGGCAATATGACTACTACCAAATTGGTTGTCGGTGGTGTTTTTGCACCATGATTACTTCCTTGTTTATTAGAGATGTTTATTTTACTCACATTATTTTTACATGGTTTGTCTTCCAACTAGTCATGCTAGTGATGTTAATAGCAACTGGCCTAATTACAACTCGAGT